CCTCCCACCCTAGGTTAAAGGAGTGTAGCTCAATGAGAGCATGTATCTTACAAGTATAAAGATGGCAGTTTGATTCTGCCCACTCCTATTGTGATAGTCACCATTATCACTGGCATCAAGGAGAAAGCTGTAAAATAAAATGGTTTGGATTTTGTTTGGTAAGTTATAAATTAATCATTTTCTCAAATTTTCTTAATTTTTGTCTGACCAACTGAATTTGTTATTTAAATGGGGTAGGGTTGTTGGTGAATAGGCATACCACTGACAATACAGGAGACACCTTTGAGATATACCAGTCAAACTCATAGAAAGGGATCTTTTGTCCAGAATTAGGTCACATGTATGTTATGCACAGAAAATGTACACTATCAATGTATATTTTTTCAACAAAATAAACATTTAAATAATTAATTGTTAAATATTAATACCTTTTTTTTCATAAAAATTACAGCAACCCAGGACTCAAAACTGTGAATTCAGGGAAAATCCAAAACAGCAACCCAGGTTGCAACCTTCTGAGTTGCAGAATTTTCAACCAGTTGCAGACACCAACTTTGTATTGGAGAGGTATAACACAAAGCAATCATCACACAAATGTCAGTTATCAGTGATCAATGCCCATATGATAACAGCCAAGCCTGGTCTAGGGGAAGATAAAGGAAAGTTTTGTCCAAAGCCTTCTAACATGTTCAATCGTTTCACCTGTGGAGAAAATTCCACAGTTATGGAACGTGTTTAATTGCACAGCACTTGCATGTTTGTGACAGGAAAGTTTTAATTAAATCTGACACCTGTGATCAACATCAGATTTATTATTCATGAGCAACCATAATTGATAATCAGGAAAAGTAATTTATTTTGTGAACACCAAAGATCTGGGTAGTCATGCATTGTTAAGAGTTTTGTTTACGCATGGCCTTGGTATCATTACTACCTGGGTGATGCAATTGTTTGTTATGTCAATGATGATATCAAATGTATCAATTAATCATCATGACCATCATGAATATTTGATGGATGGAGGATTCACATACAAGGAAATGAAGGAAATGATTAAATAGTAAGTCATGTTTGTTTTATTAAAGACATATGGTTAAATCAAGCAATCAAGCTGTTATACTTGCACATGATTTAAAATTCTTTTGTGCTTAATTTAGGGTCCCATCTTTCTTTGCTTGTATATAATCTATATATTATTGTTATTATGTTTACTGTTTTTAGAAATAAACAATAATTCTATCTAAATTTATTTGTTTATCTGTTATAGTATGATCAAATAAATTTTGGATTTCCAATTAGACATTTTAAAAAAATATAAGATCATCATTAATGATATTCTAAATTTTTCTCTTTTTAAAAATATATGTATATACCAATAATTAATTCAATTTAATACTATCTATTATATTTGGTAGTGATTGCTACACAGTGAGGGAGGGTATCAAGCAAGAATGTAAGACATTCAATTATAAAAATTTTTTACTATGTAAAAATTTGAATTTACTATTACTATAGATCTGCAGTGACCAGTAATTTTTTTTAATTGCTTTTTTAGGGAATAATAAAAATCGTTTATTTTTATACAGTGCAGATCATCTACAATCATTAATTGCTTATAGTAACAATTGGTCAACTTCAAAATACTAAAACAAAAAAGAATTATATCATTTTAAAAAATTTAACCGATAAGTTTTATTGTCCATGACTCAAGCTTCAAAACTTATCGGCTGGTTTTTTTTTAAACTGAAAATTGGCAGAGCCTTAGCATTTTGAAAATTCCGAATTTTGTTATACACTTAAGAAATTGAGACTAAGTAAATTTCGTGTAACAGCTTTTTTTTCATAGAATATTTTCTACAACATACATTTGATTTATTTGACTTATTTATTTCCTTTTTTTTATTAATAAATAAAAGTTCTTTACAACAAAAAAGTTTAACGAACATATTACATTGAAAGAAAATCATTACCAAATTTGGTCGTGAGATTCAAGATATTGTAACACGAAAATTATTGTTGCACTTCTGAGCCTAACTTTCAAATTTAAAAAATCTATGAAAAGAAAATTCGAGACAAATTTTTTTTAGATTAATAGACTCTCCTTTTAAAGCTGAATTGAATGGTGGTAAGTTTTTTAAAATCCGATGTGTGGATCACATAATATTTCAAAAATTTAAACTTTTGAGTATAGATGATCTGCACTGTACCATAATTTATAAATTATTAATATTTCAAATAAAAAATTTTTTGGTTTGTAACCGCGTTACACGTTATTTAAACAACATATAAAATTTAACAACAACTAAACAATCAAAACGTAAAAAAGATTGTTTCCTAAAGATAATAACCATTGAATAGCTATCTATATCTCAGTTGTCATATGAATGCAAATCACGATGTATACAAGTATTATATAATGATAGATCATTCTCTATCATGTTAGAAATCTAGGATCATCTAGACGTATATTGCTGTTCCCTATATCTGTATAATTATAATTATATCAGAATGAGGAATCAACATTTTTAACCTAATATGTTGTAATTAATTATAAATATATCTTTATTTTTTAATAATAATTGATTTTACTATTTACAGTAATTTTCAATTCATTAATAAAAAATCAACGTCTAACTAAAAATGAGAATTTTTTTGTCATTTCAAATTATAATTAAATATAGATAAAAAAATTCATTTGTAAATTTTTTATTTTTATTTTTTCTTGATAAAACAACTATGGGAAAAACGTTCACTGAAAAAGCAAGTTTGGCCATTAAACTTGCCAATTTAAATAGTAACCAATTAAAGTTGCTTAAAAATCCACCTATATCTGGTGTGTCAATAGATGATTTTCTTCCAAAAAATAGACCAAGACGAAAATCTTCAGTTGTAAAAAAGGCAAAAAATCTAAATTATGCAAATCAGTTTATTCTGTACCGTAGATATTATGAAAAGCTTGAAAGAACAAAAAATTCGGGGAAAAAACTTCCAAAAATTTCAGAGGCCGCTGGACGAGAATGGGAAAATATTAAAACAACAAAACCTGAAATAGTTGAATACTTTAAAATAATATCGCTAATTAACAAGGAGTATAAAAAAATGATTTGTCTCGAAGTTGATGATAAAGTAAATTATAAATGGAAACCATACAATGCTCCAAATAATAATAATGACAGCAACATTAATAACATTGCACATCCGTCCACATCGTCATCTCCCACAACAACATCTCCCACATCGTCAGCACTTTTAAGCGATGGTGATATACAAAATGAACAATTGCTTCCGGAATATCAATCAACACATATTAACAATAATGATAATACTGGAATGAATGTGGTATATAATAATAATATAGGGACTGAGCCTAGAACAACAGGATGTACTCAACAACCAGATATTATACAATCTGAAATTATTAACCATGGATGGTTTGCTAATGGTGTTAGCATTGAACCAGAATCAACCCAACTTCAAGTAGGCCAGAGAGAAGAAATCATTGAGCTATTATTTTTATCTATTATGGGATCACAGAATTGTTTATGATTATAATTTTCCATTTCTTTAATTTTTCTATTTCTCCTGATTCTATTTCAATTTCTCTGTTTTCTTTTAATCATTATGTGGTTTGGAATTTTGTTATATTTAGTTCTACTATTAATAAAGTGATTGTATTAGTGTTGGATTCTGAAAGCATAGAGTTTCGCAATTCTGTAAAAAGGTTTCGCCATAAATCGAAATCAGTTTGGACTTTTGCTTTTTATTTAGTTTTGACTTTTAATTTTAGTTTTGACTTATGTTTTTTCAAAATAGTTTTTAGCAACCAACCTTAATATATGCGTATATATATTATTTAATAAATAATTTAAAACAAATGCTGTTAAATCTTATGTATCTCTCTCCGTATGTTTTATGTTTTTGAATTTATGTCTTCGTAAACCATTGATATTTTATACTCACAAATTACACTTGATTTGATTCTAATGTACAAAATTAAAAAATAAATTATTAAAGATTGGAAATTATTAAACAGTTATTAGGTATATTTGATATGCTTACTTTATATATATATATATATATATATATACTGTATATTTGTATATATTTATTATTCACTATTTCAATAACATTTTTGGGACGCTTTTTTATATCATGGAACTTACCCTCGAATGATTTGATGGACAATGTAAAAAATATATAGGTTTATATGAAATACAATCTGTGAAAAAAGTTTTTGACTAAAAGAAAGTTATATGTTTGCTAGGTAATTTAATCAAAATAGATAGCACCAATGAATGATAAATTTAGCTTTAATATAAAGATACTAATACGTTGTTGTCCTAAAATTTCGAAAATAATAAGAATTCCCATATAATTAAGCTTTATAAATAATGAGAATTTATCTTCAGAAAATTAGTCCCCTTTTTTTCAAAACATAATAAAACATTCATTTATTCATGATAAACAAAAACATAAACACACATTTAAAATATGCAATAAACAAACAAATTCATTTAACTAAATATAAATATTTAAATTTCATTTACATTTATTTACATTATTTTTTTTTTTTAAAATGAATTGATCGGCGAATTTTTCCATATTAATATTTTATTTAGATAATATGAACCTGGGCCTTAATTTAGTTATGGAGAAAAAATTCCATCGCTGGCATATTGTTGTGTTTATTTTGTTCTGGGGAGATGAATTACTCTAAAAAAAAAGGAAAAAAAAAGGCATTATAATAATATTCTTTTATAATTTACGAATTCTTGAATTTCGAGAGTCTTTAGTTGCCCACCCGATCCGCCCAAGTTAAATAAAGAAAGAAAAATATTATTTATTATGACTGTATTTTCCTTTGGGGAGTAGATTGATTGGGATGATTTGGTGATTTGGAACCAGTTTTACATGACGCTTTCCTTTGGGTAATAGATTAATTTTCATGATATGGGTATGTCACGCGTAGCATGTTTATATTCCAAAAGCAGTTTAATTAACAGATATTAATACCCATTGATTGATTGGTTGATATTTGTATTAACAAGATACACATATATTCTAATTATACAAGCAGTATTAGTATGCAATTATTATTGTATTTACTGTTTAGATAATATGGAATGTCATAGAGGAAATTTATTACACAAATTGTAGTGTATATTTCCAAAGAATATAATAATATTATTTATATCAACTATAGGGAAATTTTTTATCAGGAGAAATTTTAAAATGATCAAAACGAAGCTTGATATAGTAACCTTGCTGTTCTCCCAATTTATTTTTCATTAATTAGCTCGTTACAACCGGAAAAAGAGAAATACTTGTAATATTCTTGTAACAAGTTTGATCATATGAATGATTGTTTATTTTAGTTATACGCGGAAAATAAAAAAAATTTACGTCAGCTTGTGTTAGATAATCAAACCAATATTAATTAAATTTCAAAATACTTATAATCACAATCATCGTTATCTACATATATATGTTAATTTTTTGCTCGTCAATTCATAAAGTATTTATTAACAAATATGAATTTTTTTTCGTTCCAAATTATAATAAGATGGTATATTTTAATAATATTTAATTTAAATAAAAGAAAAATTTTAAAAGATTTTTTTTTTTTGATTATTTCATTAGGAATTCTACCTAGTGTCAAGTTTACTGCTTATCAATCAAACGTGCTTAAAAAACTCGCCCGTGTAGCCAGATGATTTTATTTCAAGAAAACCGTCACGAAAATCAATAGCGGTTGTGTTAGATTGAGTACTGTACACTTCGCGCAGCAAGTACTGTACGAACCATTTTTAATAATGATAATCGTACTTACATGCCTTTTTTGGGTTGGGTATGTGGGATCTCTAATCCTCTCTGAAAATGATAAGACTTTGTCTGACTATAATATCCAAAAAGGATCATCAATTAATCCAAACACCTTAAGCCTGTCTCAAGACTAGGAAATTAAATTGATAAAATTACAAAAATAGCTATAATGTTATGTTTTGTTTATTATTATGATATTTGTTACATTATTTCTTGTCTCCTAATAAAATAGTTTATGATTTTTTTAAAAAAAGCTGACTGATACGATGAAAATTCTCATAAATAGTTAATCTGGGAATTTTTGAAAGAAATTGATAAGATACAGACAGTGAAAGAACGATTATTTTTGTCTAATGTAATATGTGAAGCGATGGCAAAGATCACTAAATTCGAATTTTTTTGCGGACGTCCTTGATAATACAAGCTATTAAATTGTGTTGCTAATTAATTAATCAATCATAGAATATAGTGGTTTTTACCTACTTTTCTACTTTAACATCATCGTCTCGTTTACATATGGTAATTTTCGCTCACTATTTCATATAAAAGCAATTATATTTTTATTTAGATTGTTATATCAAAAAAAAAATATATATTGTATTAACTTATTCATAAGGAGAATCATGGGACGAGGAGAGCTTTCTAAAACAATAACTTTGCTCATTTAACGTGCCGGTTTCACTGATGAAGAAGTAAATACGGTGAACCCTCCTGTATCTAATGTGTCAACAGATTATTTTCTTTCAAAAAATCGTCACGAAAAAAGGTAAAAGGAGTAACCACACTAAAGAGGGCGAATCAATTCATCCAATTTTACAAATATTATTAAAAAGAGCAGGAATGAAGAAACGAAGATTGACTACCGTCCAAGCTAGCGAAGGCGAACTATTAACATGAATATGATGTCTCGGGAGAGTTTAGTCAATTGCTATATAAGGCCAGGGACAATGATTGTATGTAATTCGCATAACATTGCATAATCATAATGGGACGAGGAGAGCTTTCTAAAACAATAACTTTGCTCATTTAACGTGCCGGTTTCACTGATGAAGAAGTAAATACGGTGAACCCTCCTGTATCTAATGTGTCAACAGATTATTTTCTTTCAAAAAATCGTCACGAAAAAAGGTAAAAGGAGTAACCACACTAAAGAGGGCGAATCAATTCATCCAATTTTACAAATATTATTAAAAAGAGCAGGAATGAAGAAACGAAGATTGACTACCGTCCAAGCTAGCGAAGGCGAACTATTAACATGAATATGATGTCTCGGGAGAGTTTAGTCAATTGCTATATAAGGCCAGGGACAATGATGGGATGTAATTCGCATGAGGTTGCATACGCACAAAATGGCTTAGTA